AAAAAAAAAAAAAAAAAAAACTCTGGCAAATACAGTCCATTTTGTCCATGTGGTCATTGCGTGTTTTATTTTAACTTAAATTATTTGTTTCTACCAAATAAATGACATTTTACAATATAAATGCGTAAGAAGTAAAACTAACATGATAATAAGCATAAAAGGCATTAATTCACTCTTGAAAAAGGAACAAATATATAAAGAAAAGGCAAAATAGAGGAAATTGCCAATCTTCTTTTTATTTGGTTTGTCCACATTCTGGAAAAAACAAAACAAAAGGTTTATATTTGTCCCTTTACTATCAGAAATTATTTAAAATCGCCCTCCGTTTGAGTATTCGCCTTTAAAACCCTCGTCATCTTTTGATAGCAAGGGGCAAATATACTCAAATGGAGGGCAATTTCATAGAGTCATTGCCCGAGCCACAGAATTCAGCTATGACAAGCCCAAACAAAAGGACAAATAAGCTGCAAACAGCCACTGCCTATGAGTCGCGGATTACCCCAAAAAAGACACTCTACAAATTAAGCACTTGACTGAACATACCTTACGCAAATCAACTTCTTTGCTAAATTATCGGTCTCTGCACTGGACTGACAGTAGCTTTCAATAAAAATTTGACTCCAGTGGAAATCGAAATGGACTCCTCAGAAATATTATATATGACTGTATGTCACATATATGCATTCTTCAGCATTGAAGATATGAGTTGCAGCAAATATATTCTACAGCCAAAGTGAATGTTTATAAATTTCTGCACCTAATAGCCAAAAGATGTTCCTCAAATTTTTCACTATTTCTTGAGTGAGATACAAATTAGGAATCTAAGCCTGTACAAAACTTTGATTCACCTTAACCGGAGAACTTGATATCTCGTACCCAACTTCTCATCCAAAATTTTCAAGACATCAATCTGTAGCACGGCTCTTTTCTCCAGGCTATACGATAAAACGGAAGCAGAAGCCAAAATCTCTGGTTCTAATCCCAATTCGTTCATAAGAAAATCTAACTTTTACTCTTGATTGTAGCCTCTCACAGAGTTAAACAACAAGGTACATTCCGAGCCATGATAATTTGCAAACCTCTTCTCTAAAAGCAGCTCACTGATCTAACCAAAGACATAAACTCCATAGAAGAACATGTCAAGAAATGCCAACAGCATTCATCACCCTATGCACTATGTCCTGAAAGAACCAACAACGACAAACATAGTGTAATCCCATAAGTTGGGTCTGAGGAGGATAGAGTGTACGTGAACCTTACCCCTACCTTGTGAGAGTAGAGAGGGTGTTGCCGACAGACCTTCGACTCAAGGAGAGCACTATGTCCTGAAACCTGGTATATATATCCTCATGGTATAACAGTAATTCCTAGAGTAGTTAATTGACTTGCTTTTCTACTTAATGGAGAATATAGAACCTTTCCACTTTTGTGGTTTATCATTTTCCAGAACCAACTAATTAGGTTTACAATTGAGAAATTCAAATCTGAACAGAAATCAACAAGCCATAAAGTGAGACATATATTAGCTAGCTAGGTGTTTATCAAATAGTAAGTCACTGGAAAGCAAACGGAGTTTGAATAACAGAAACACTCCAATGATATTTTTGCTTTATCTGAATAGAAATGATTTTTGGCAACACTAACTATATTTTTCAAAATACCAACTGAAAAACGAAAAGCAAAAGTATACTGAACAACAAATGATAATAATTTTAAAAAGGTCACAGCACCCTTAGTGCTAAAATGTAAACCAAAACTGTTAAGGCGACACAGTTTTCTTATGTGATTCATACAGATAAGGTATCTGATCCTTGTAGGGAAGCACAAAATACTCTATAAACTTCGACTCTGTTATCATCAGAACGCGATAAAGAGTCCACTTTCTCCTCTCAAGCTTCTTTCCATCCAAAATTTTCAAGACTTGCATCCGAGGTGCCACTCTTTTTTCAAGACTATAGGCCAAAATTGCAGGATGTGAAGCCAAATAAGCAGGTTCAAAACCAAGCTCCTTCATGTAAAGATTTAATGATTTTTGAATTCTAACCTCTGATTTAGCAATGCAATACGGTAGCTTCCTAAACATCTCGAGTATATCATCATCAGACCATCCAAAACTCTTGAAAATTCCGATCTTCTTTTCCAACAAAGACTTATTTTGACTGGCTAACACTTGAAATCCACGCAGAAAACTAGGGGAGTCGGGCAGAACTCGGAAATCCTTCTCCACTATATGCAACAAATCCTTAAACCACTTAGGCTTTAGAGAAATACAAGCAGGAGATCTAAGCACAAACTTTTTTATTATGACACTAGAAAAACCATAGTTTCTCAAGAACAATACATTAGTCTCCATAATATGATGAGTACCAAAAGAGAGCAACCAAGGAGCTCTCTTTATAGCCTTAACTACATCTTCGTCGCTACCCAAAATTCTCCTAAGACAATCAATGGTAGGTCTTAAATGAGTATCTAAACTTCTCATAAAAATATTTGAATCTTTAGCAATTACATTCACTAGGTCCGACCCGGATAACCCGAGATCCATAAGGCACTGGAGTTTGGGTTTTAGGGTTTTGGAAACATCACGGTATAGCAATGTGGGTGCTCTAGAAACTAGTATTTTGATGTCGGTCTTGTCAAAACCAGTTTGTTTCAAGAAATTGAGGACTAAATCAGGATTTTTTAAGGTTTTCTGTGAAGTTAGCTTTGAAGAAGTAAAAGTTGCTTCTTTTTTGGAAAATCCTAGAGAATCAATGAGGTATTTAACCAAAAAATTGGATGCGATACGGGTTGACGTTGTTGAGTAGAGATATTGAGAGCCGCCATTGAAGCGAATTCTGGATAAAGCTTGAGCTGCTTTGCCAGTGATGAGCCTTAAATACATTTTAATTTTCAGCACTAGCAAAATATTCTCCTATAGAATAGTATAATCTGGATTTGGGTATCGTCTAAACCAGCTTTTCGTAAGAAAATAAGGTGGATTCAAGTGAGTTACCTTGGCGGGCCTATTGACATTGCTTCGCCATTGAAAGGAGATGGCCACTCTCACTAAACGAGAACAAATATGTCATGGGGAAAAAGGTCAAAAATAAAAGTAAGCATTATTTATACTCTTGTTTATACTTTCGGTCCATTAATATTTTGGACGTTTTAAAATTGGTGCAAAAAATCCGTTGGAGGATGCCTAGTTGGGTTGGAGGGCGGTCATAGGTAAAGATGATCTGACATCGATCCCCTCTTAATACGTTCTGGGTCGAGCATGTTGCATAAGGCTTGCCTAGTACGATTTACATTCCATGTGTGATTTACACAGTAGTATTTACCTAATGCGCACATAGTGTTTATCACAGAGTGTTCACCCGAAGGGCAGGGGCTGTGACAGAGGCCATAGCGGCTGCGGGTTTTTCTCAAGTTCCAAAATAATAAAAAAGATTTAGTGCAAAAATACTCCTCAACCGTTAGAACCCTCTATCATAACATCATCATCCTACGTGGTCTGATATTTCAGTGAGATGGACACTGCGTTGGCATGCCACCTTACCACACCAACTCATTTTAGCCCCTTCCAATCATTTCTTTCCTACCGCCACCATCACCCTCGTCACCCAATCTTTTCCGGATTTTATTGTTGTATTCTAAATTATAAATTACATAAGTTACAAAAAAAATTAATCACCCTCCATTTTACCACCTATAATAGAATTTTTTCTTTTACCTTTAATCACGGGAACTAAATCTTCTTTAACTGAAGCACCAAAAATTATTTTTATCATCGTTTTTTCATCTCCAATCGTGATCCAAAATCGACATAGAAGTGATTTTGAAGTGCTAGAAACTCGTTATTTAAATTAATGAATTTGTACTTTGCAGCTGCAATGCTAAATATTTAGTTTTTTTTTCTGGAAATAAAAGAGAATTTCAACAAACAAAAAAAAGAACTATGATCCGCTTAAACTTATCCAATTTGGAAATCATATAAGTCTGATGTTTGTGTAATTTTATTTCTGTAGATGATAATTTAAAATTTTTGGTTGCAAAGTAAGTAGAACTGAAAGCATCTCTTTTAGTCGGCGAGAATAGAGGCCCGTGTGCTTATTTTATAAGTGTTAGCTGCTTGTCCATTAGTTGCTTAGATAATGAATTTTTCCTTATTAGAGTTCTTAATTAAGGGTTTAATGGACTAATATTTTTGCAGTTTATGTAATTTATAATTTAAAATACAACAACAAAACTCAAAAAAAATTGGGTAATGGGGAAGGTGGTGGTGGACGAAGAAGAAAAAAGGGAAGGCTGAAATTAGTGGGTGATGAGACGGCATGTTATGCAGTGTCCACCTCACCGAAATATCATGCCACGTATGATGGTGCTGTCATGGTGGAGGGTCCTAACAGTATAGAGGTATTTTTGTACTAATTTTAAGACATCAGGGATACTAATGGAACGAAAGTATAATGGATGATATAAATGATTCTTTTCGCATAATTGTCTTTCTAGTTTGATTCGTTGTCCGTTGTGCACTAGTGAGTCTTCTCTAGATTGTTGAAGGTGTAGTGGCTGCAGTCTGGGATGATAGAATAAGGGCANGGGGAGGCAGAAGGGGCAAGGGAGCCTATAGGTTGAGAATCGGGTCATGGGACATAGGTTCACTAACGAGTAAATCCATAGAGTTGGCGAAAATCCTGCAGAAGAGGAAGATTAATATAGCGTGTGTCCAGGAGACTAGGTGGGTCGGATCGAGGGCGAAAAACATGGATGGGTATAAGTTGTGGTACTCTGGTGTCCTGAGGGGTAAGAGCAGAGTGGGTATCCTGGTAGATAGCCATCTTAGAGAGTCCGTGGTAGAGGTCAGGCGAGTGAATGATAGACTAATAACTATTAAGTTGGTGGTGGGCGAGGGTACTTTAAATGTCGTTAGCGCGTACGCACCGCAAGCAGGCTTGGATGAGGATATTAAGAGGCGTTTTTGGGAGGGGTTGGATGAGATTGTTCGTAGTATACCGCCTTCTGAGAGGTTATTCATAGGAGGAGATTTCAATGGTCATATTGGGTTATCTGCAGGTGGGTACACTGAGGTGCATGGCGGATTTGGTTTCGGAGAGCGGAACGGAGGGGGCATTGCGTTGTTGGACTTTGCCAAGGCTTTCGATCTAGTCATTGCGAACTCGAGTTTTACGAAGCGGGATGAACATTTGGTTACTTACCAAAGTTCGGTGGCGAAGACTCAGATTGACTATCTCCTCCTCAGGAGATGCGACAGAAGGTTGTGCGAGGACTGCAAGGTTATCCCAGGTGAGACCCTCTCAACGCAGCATAGGCTTTTGGTGATGGACATTTGTATTAGGATAAGGAGGAAGAAGAGGTCAGTACAAGGACGCTCCAGGATTAGGTGGGGCGCCTTAACTAAGGATAAAGCTAAGGAGTTGGAAGGAAAGTTATCGGCAATGAGAGCTTGGAGAAGTAGTGGGGACGCAAACACAATGTGGTCGATGACAACGGACTGTATAAGAAAGGCGGCGAGAGAGGTGTTAGGGATATCTACGGGCCACAATGGTGGCCACAAAGGATATTGGTGGTGGAATGCAGTTATCCAAGGTAAAGTGGAAGCAAAGAAGGTGGCTTACCTGTGGTTAGTAGGGAGCACTGACGAGGAGAAGAGAGCGAACAGTGAAAGGTATAAGGTTGCTAGGAAGGAGGCGAAGATGGCAGTGACAGAGGCTAAGACGACAGCTTTTGCTCGTCTGTATGAGGAACTAAGGAACAAATGTGGGGAGAAGAAGTTATTCCGACTCGCTAAGGCGAGAGAGAGGACAACTCGGGATCTGGACCAAGTGAGGTGCATAAAAGATGATGACGACAAAGTTTTGATGGGAGAT